CGCAGGAGCTGCACTGGCCGGTGGCAGTAGGCGGCTGGGCGAGCATCATGCCCTGTGCAGGCCTCCCAGTGCCGGCCGGTGGACCCGCTCCTCTTGCTGATGCTTTCTAACCTCTTTCTCTGCAGAGCCCCCGAAATCATCCTCGGTTTACCATTTTGTGAAGCGATTGATATGTGGTCGTTGGGATGTGTCATTGCAGAGCTGTTCTTGGGCTGGCCGTTGTACCCGGGAGCTTCGGAGTACGATCAGGTGGGTACAGATCCTGCCCCAGCTGCTGGCACGTGCACAGGTGGTTCTTCCCATTTCTTATCAGAGTGAAGAGGTGACAACTTTTTTTGTTTTGCTAACAGGGGGTATGTGTTTCTTACCTCCCAAGTCAAGTGTTTCATTATCCTATCCACCTAGGGTAACCAGTGTGCTGTTGGTGTGCTGGCTTTTGAGACCTGCCTGCCTAAGTGAAATCTCAATCAAGAGTCAACACTGTCGTTGGCTGGAGAGCTCTGTACTTGTCTCTCCTCACTGAGCAGAGCAGGCACACTTTCTCTGCTGTAACAGTGAAGATTGAATAAAGGTTCATTTGTTAGAAGAAACTGCACCATCTCTACTGTGTTTCATAATCCCTTTAATGAGGGTGCCTATTGAAAGCAGTGACAAGAAGGAGAACCTTCACAGTGGTGTAGGTTTCCAGTTAATATAATGCTTCTCTCCCTATATGCTTTTGTACTCCTTTTGTAGTTCTAAAACTGATATCGCAGCAGCTGCTAGAGCTAGAGCTGCAGAACTGTTTCCATTCCTGTAGTCTTCTTTGGGGTGATCTTAGCTTTCTGCAAATGCAGCCTGAAAAGGGTGTTTTTTTCTTTAGAAAATTAAAAAAAAAAGTGCAGGGTAATTATTAAGTTTTTCGTATATGAAAACGTTTCTTTGACTCTTCTTTTGTAACTAGAATTGTTTAGTTAGAGCAATAAAAGTAAAATTTGGCAGGGGAAATAATCAGCAGTGAAGAGCAGGACCATTAGTGACCCCGAAGGAAATCACATGTAGCTGAAAAACTTAAAAAGCATTTGAAAATCAGACCCCAAGCATGAAGAGTGGATTTCTTTCTCCTCATCCCGCAAAAGCCATAAAACCACACAGCTGAAAAAGAAATCACTGTATGTACCCACCCAGCTTAACTGTCCAGCGCAAAGCTTCCTCCAGTGAGTTAGAGTGAGGGTAATTTCCCCAGGGGAGCTAGGAATGGGGCAGGGACTCATCCTGCCCCTTCACCCCAGCCCAAGTCACCCTGCAGCACTGGTGCTGGGCTACTGGCAGGATCCTGGTGCTTCTCAGGTTTGTGGGCTCTGATGGACCTTAGAATCTATAGAATCAAGCAAAGCATGCTCAGTGAAACAGGTCCTGAGCACTTGGAATTCTTTGAAACCATGGCTGCTTTTTATGCCTTTATTTTTTTTTTACCGCTTTCTGTTTATTCCCTCAAAATCTCTCACCTTTTTTGTAGAATAGATGATTTTTTTTTGTAGTTCTGCAGAGTTTGCAGTGATTTTGCAGAAACATTCAGGAGTCAGGAGATTCCAAAGTTAAGGTTTCTTGTGGCATCCCAGGCATCTGTAAGATCTGCCTCTATAACTGGGTAATCACAGACCCTTTGAATAAATAAAGTTTGAGATCCTGGAAACATAAGTGTGGCATCTCGTAGCTGTGTGAGTGCCAGTGAGGTCATACTCATGGAAGTAACCCAAACAAATGAAGTCATGCAATACCGTGAGAGTGTCAGTTTATCTGAGTATGTATTTCATTTAAGTTCAAAGATAGTCACTTCATAGTCTTCCGTTTTGAACTTCAAACTGCTCCTAGGAAAGGCTGTGCGCTCAGCTGGGGGAAAAAAACAGCAAAAGTTAGAGCGCAAATATCAAATTGTTGAAATTACCTCCTGGAAAGGAGAGCATGACATAAAAAAATGGCAAAGCAATGAAACACCCCATTGAAATCTCTGTGTGGGTCTTCCTCTTTCACCTCTAAAACCTAGGGACTTTCCTTCCTTCATCTGTTAGCCTTGTGGGAGTGTACCGTAAGGAGTTCTCTTTCCTCTCAATCCTTGCACTGTTGGGTTTTTTTTTCAGTGAAGTCTTAACTGCATGCTACATTTTCTCTTTCTTTGTTCTATTGTTTTAAATGCCTCCTCCCCTCCTTCAGGGAAGACCTCTGGAGATCTTTACAGGATGAACAGTGACCTCTCATCCTTCTCTTACAGATTCGCTATATTTCACAGACGCAAGGCTTACCAGCAGAGTATTTGTTAAGTGCAGGGACAAAGACTACGAGGTTTTTCAACAGGGATACAGACTCACCGTATCCTTTGTGGAGGCTGAAGGTAGGAAGACGTTCCCTTGTTTCTTTTACCTTGCAGCTGTTGGTTTGAAATAAGGAGGCATTCAGGTCACCTCAGAGTCTAGATCTCTGCTTTTTTCAGTGCAGCACAGATGTCGGGGTGGGTGTAGCCCAAGGTAAAACTGCCATCCCCAAAGACTGCAGCCCTTAGCCCACCTGCTTGGCACTGCCTTGTGGGAAATTTAAATCTGGAATTGACCTGGAAATCTCCCTCTAAGTAGTCAATGAATTGATGGATAGTTTAAATGAAACACGCCCTGGGCAGACTTTGCCCTAATATCTAACACATTGGGGAGAAAAAAAAAGAAAGCATTTTAAGTCTGATAAAACCACCAGTAACACAAGTGAGCCCTCAATCTCTTGTGCCAGTACATTTGGCTGCATTCAGTGTCCCCAGGGAGAGAGGCCAGTGGGCTTCTGGCTGTAAGGATGGAATGCTGAGCCTGGTGCTATGGTGGGTGTAAGACACCTTTAGGACTCACACTGTAGTTGGGAGGATCCTCTCAAGTGGTGAAGAAAGGACAAATTACCTTGTGGCACTGTCCTGGTTCCGTGTAAAAAGGGGTTCAGGGCAGGACCCACACGGAACAGAACTATGTACTCGCCTCTCCCCCACCCCCTTGAGAGAGAGAGAGAGACACTTTAAAAAAAAAATGAAGTATATTGTTCAACAAGGAACAGAAAACAAAAAAAAGGGAGGTAAGGAAAATAATATTTATAAAGATTAGGGGAATAATACAAAAGATAAAATATACAAAACCCTCAGAAATGGTTCCAGGGTCCCACGGAGTGAAAGGAGAACTTTCCTCTCCGAGCTCCAAGGCAGGAGTGAAACAAGAAACCACTCCCTGCCTCTTATCAGAGTGTGTGTGGGAAGGGGAGGGAATACAATGGTTCACCCCCACCCGGGGTCCTCCCAGTTGCTGGAAGGTCACGCCCCCATTCCAAGCCTCAAACCACAACAGGCACAAAAGCTGTCATGTAACCGTAGCAGACATAACGTGACTGTTACCTGGTCAGGTGAGAGAGGCGCGGTGGTCTCTGATAAGGGCAGGATAAGGCACAAGCTCCAAGTGTCACGTAAGCTGCAGCTGATGGCAGGGCAGTTCTGGTCAATGCCTGTCTCCTGTTTTGAGCAGACGCCAGAGGATCATGAGGCAGAGACGGGGATTAAGTCAAAGGAAGCAAGAAAGTATATTTTCAACTGTTTGGATGATATGGCACAGGTAAGAACATTGGTGAGTAACCAGCAAGACTGCTTCATGTGCTTTTGGGCAAGGCTAACAAAGGGGATATATGCAGCTTCTCCATGTGTCCCATTCTTGTGCCAGCTGCTCGGAAATACCAAAATGAGGCCTACCAAATCAGCTCATTGTGTGCTGCTTTGTAGGGAGCGCTGCAGACAGGGGCACGTGAACTCAATGTGCTATAGTAAAGCGGCCTTGGAAAATGGCTAAGTCACATCTCTGGCTTATCTAACTCTTACTTTGACTCTGTCAAAATCATGTATTTTGTCTCTCCTGTGCTTCTTCGTGCAACCACTGGCAAGTCACTTACTTCTCTGTGCTTTAATATTTCCATTTATAGCACGGTGACATTGGAATTAATCACTGTGGCTGCAGAAGAGTGTGCCCCCTGTAAAATGTGGTTGTCTTGGGGAACAGGGAGTGCTAATTCAGTGTCAATTCCATGTGGGCGTGAAAGTTAATTCCAACACAACCACTCCTACAACTGGAGTTCATGCTAGCAAACAAACTAGCATGCAGAACTGGCGTGACACTAGCACAAAACTGGAGTTTGTGCTACCCAGGTGTAGACATCGTAGCATTCGCAAGCAAACGTGCAGCAGTGGGTGACTGTATAAATGGATGAAATAGCCTAAAGGGTTTGTTTTTTTCCTGCCACCTGATACATGAATGAGATGCTTCCCATAAACACACTGGCAATTTTTATTTATTTTATCTAACTTCTTTGCTCACTGGACATATAGTTAAATATATGATAGCACAGTCCTTTATATGATAAATATCCTGATTATCAGAGCTTGCCTGCTACCACATGGAAGCTGTTCATCTTCAGTGGAGGGTGACTAAGTGTTTCATTAGCCATTGACCCAAGCAAGCTGAACACTTAACAGTCTGTCTGGAGATCTGACATGCACAAGCCAGATGACCAGCCACTGTGGCGGAGGCTGCTGTGTGACTTCAGCAACTACCCCTTTAGACAGGGAGGCTTGCAGGGCTTGTGCTCCAACGGGAAGTAGACACAGTGTGCTGGTGACCTAACCATCTGCTTTTTCCCTTTAGCGCTCACCCTTGTCCTTTCTCCTTTAGGTGAACATGACAACAGATTTGGAAGGAAGCGACATGTTGGTGGAAAAGGCGGACCGGCGGGAGTTTATAGATCTGTTAAAGAAGATGTTGACCATAGATGCAGATAAGAGAATAACACCTATTGAAACCCTGAGCCACCCTTTTGTCACCATGACGCACTTGCTCGATTTCCCTCACAGTACACAGTATGTGGCTTTTGTTTCCCTTGCGTTTTGAATTGAGGGGTGAAGAGGAAAGCTGGTTGTGGTGGAGACCAAATATATCTGAGCAGTGTTATTAAGATGCTTAAGCCTTAAGTTTATTTTTTCTAGTTAAAAAAGAGGATTGCCAACTCTCAAGATTGCAAGAATTGTGTTGTAGGTACTTGGTATTTAAAACACTGCAGAGTATGCTACATTCATTATGTAAATATTCAATAATTATATATGTTTGCATTAAAATGCAGAAGAAATTATGCAATTAGTGCTGAAAGTATCAGTATATCTCAAAGTAATATAGTCCTGATTGTTACTGCAGTAATCAGCCTTGTCTGCAGTAGGGAGCCAACCCTTCCTCCCAGAACCTTCCCATCTTGCCTGGGTCAGTTTGGTGCTGTTTGCTTTTTAAGGGGAGAGCCTTTTCTTCAGCTTTCTGGTTTACAGGCACAAGGAGTTCAGTTTTCAGCTTTGTTGTGGGCTGCCTATGTAACCTTAAACACCATGCTTGTGACCTCAGCTGACGCATTTTTGGAACGGAGATGGACTCCGCTGCCCAATGGGGATGTGAAGAAGTGTCATGGCTTCACCTGACCCCTCCTTCTCCTAAGGCTGCCTCATGGAGCAGAGCACAGCAGGCTGAAAAGCAGGAAACCTGCTCCCAGCACGTGGCTCTTGTCCCGTGGGCAGTTCGCATAGGGCCTCTCAGGCTTCTCAGGGGCAGGTGAAGGCAGACACCTAGTGGGAGTTTTCCCAAGCCTTCAGGACACCTAGATTTGAACGTCTGGTTCCACAGCACTTTACAGTTCATGGTGCTTTTCCAGGCTGTCCCTTCACTTTGCCAGGAGAACAGTTACTGGCACAGCACTGTACTTCACTGGGTGCCATGCACATGGGTGTTTACAGGTTGTGAGGAGCTCAAGTACAAAAAATAAAGAGATCTGCTTAAAAAGCCATGGAATATGTTCGAGTGGTGCAGACCAACAGGTTACTGCATGTCACCTCTCCTGGCTCTTCATGTGCTCTTACCTGTGGTATTTCAAGTTTATTCGAAGTAGTTTTCCCTCTGTGAAGGAGCTGTAGCTGCCTTTTTGTTACGTTTGTCACAAGGTAATGGCACCTGCTTAACCAGGTGTGTACAGTGTTACTTACCCTCCACAGACAACTTTGAGCATTGCGGTCTATAAGTCAATAATAAATGGTAAATGTAATGAAAATAAGATGGGACATTGTTGTGCTAATAGGCCAGAAAGTAAAAATGAAGTTTAAAGAAAAGACAGTATTTTCTAACAGTGTTTAGCATCATATACTAAGTCTTTGAATTTGCAGCAGTCCTTCTTACTGTGCCACAACTGGTTGATAAAGTAGGAGAGAGTTGTGGCATAATGCATTGCCATGAGAAATCTTCCACTAATGCAACACGCCATAATCACATCTTCATTTTTGAAGTGCTCACTTGTGGCTGCTTAGGCAAAGCCCCAGAAAGGTTGAAAATATCATTGAGTCCAATAGCAGTGAGAATTTTACATGAATAAAAAAATTCAGCATCATGTCTCTGAGTACTAAATGCTGTGCCAGCCGGGTGCACAACCCCACACAGCCCCTCCGTGTTGGAAACAGTGATGGGTAAAGAGAGAATAAGCTGTAACCAGTGTGGCAAGTTGATGGAAATTTTGTCTGTGATTGCCTGTGGTTTTGAGAATAGAAACTTCAAAGCCTCAAGAGGTGCAAGGAGTTGTAATATCTCTTGAAAGTAAATCAGGCAGCAGAGAAAGTAAGAATATATGGAAGTTGTGGCTTCTGGAAGGAGTATCTGCTGTGGCATGCTTCAGAGAGGCTGCAAGTTTGAGCAGCCCAAGAGGGGCTGTTTCCAAGCAAAGAGCAAAGCAAGTTTAGCTCCCCTTTTCATGTATTTAACTGTTTGGCTCTTCAGTTGCTGGGAACTCCTCAGTCACTCTGTCCATTTTGCTCTGTCCCTGCTGTCTTTTTTCCCCCCTTTTATTTCAAGTAAAGTGAGAAAGCACGGTATTACATTAGTAGAGATTATACCTTGTTATGTAAAACCATTTGGTAACGCACCCAAGTTAACCATGTGCAGAATATATACTCTTTCCAGTGCTTTCTGCTTTTTGGAGGGAGAATTCTATTCATATTTGGCTGGAAAAATGCAATCCAATAGTCTTCTATATTAATTTGATAAGTGTTTTGATTTCTTCTGAATGTTCTGCGACTTAGAGGTATTTCCTAGTTCTTTAAGTGAATGCACATAATGCACAGCTATGCACAGTGTCCTGAGCCTGTCTTGTCTGCAGGTCTTTATGGCACAGATCCAGTTGTCAAGATATTTCCTATAAGAGAAGAAAGATGACCATGTGAGTAAGAGACAAGACAGGGATAAAAAGATCTAGGTCCTCCCCCTGACCAACCCTAGGGATCATATGACCGTGTTCCTTTTGAAGGAATATTTTGTTTCTTAAAAATTATGTGAGGATGTGTTTACCTCCCCTGCCTTTAATAGCTTAGACCATTACAAAAGAAATTATGCATACAGCTGGTTTTTTTACAGCTACTGCTGATTTTCACTGCTTGAATTTACTATTTTTCTGGGTTGGGATAACAAAAATAAAATAAATGCCTTTATACTTTTTTGGGTTATGTTTCAGACTCCTAAGGTCATATTTTTAAAAGCAATTATTACAGAAGAATTGTGGAAAACCTGTAGTAGTTTTTAGACCTTGTGAAAATGCGATTTTGTTAAAAATACAGTTTTGCACAAGATCACTGTGTTGTTATCTCTTAAACTGTATGCTTTGGTATCCCAACTGTAAAAATAAAATAGTGGTGGTTTCATGTATCAGACACCTAGAGTGCTTTAGCAATGCAGAGAGTATTTCATCTCCTTTACTGGGGATACAAAATACGGTACATCTCAAAATATCCATTGCTATATGAATAACATTTAAAGGAAAGTCTGTGTAGAGGAAGAAGCTGTAACCTTTCCCCCCAGAGATCTAATTCTCAGTCTGAGATAACCTTAGAACTTGATTCCCTTGGGATGCAGATGAATCTGATGTGGCATAACCTTTTGCAGTAAGAATCGTCCCATTGACTGCAAGAGGACAGCTCATGTGTTTTGAGATAAACATCTGTGGAAGTGTTTAGCCAGACAGAGCAGTGCTTTAAATGCTTGGCTGGACTCAGCTTTCAGTAAGCTACTTCTTAAAAGAAACAAGATTTTTCAGGGGTCTCGGTGACCAAGAACAGTAAAATTCTTACTTGCAAAAGACTTGTAAAACTACCTTTAGGCTTTCACTGAGGCAGGAAGCATGAGTTGTCTTTTCCTGTCAGACTCAATCATCAGAAAATAGAACAGTATCTATCTTTCTTTCTTGCTGTCAGTCTCTTTCAGTCTTAAAATAGCCACTTCGTAGTTCTTGCCTTGTCACCTAAAGAGCAACCAGTTTGCTTGTTTTTTTTATGACTTACATTGCGGTGCTCAGACTTGTGGGGCCACTCAGGACACCCAGAGCAGCTGCTCTCATCTAGACCCCCATTTGGCCCTCTTTGGTACAGGGTTAATCTGACTCTCACTGGTTAAAAGAGACCTGCATAAAATAGCAAAGGGCTTTAAGAGCCTAAAAGTGCTAAGCCTGCTGTAGAGACCTAATGCAGTGCCACGGATCTGAACTGTTGCTACCTGTGTTGGTCAGTTGGCTGATTTTTCTGCCTCTTCCTTGTCCCCTCTTTCCTTACGCAGTGTCAAGTCCTGCTTCCAGAACATGGAGATTTGCAAGCGGCGAGTGAACATGTATGACACAGTGAACCAGAGCAAGACACCATTCATCACCCATGTAGCCCCAAGTACCTCAACCAATCTGACCATGACTTTTAACAACCAGCTGAACACAGTCCACAACCAGGTAAGGGCATCAATCTGAAGCAGGCATTGCTTGAGATATTTACACCTGTAGGGTCTAGAATATGAAAATCAAAGTAGCATCCCATTTAAAATGCCTGCAGAAAAGATGATACTTTTTTATTCTCCTTACTCTGCTCGTCTTCACTCTCTTTTCTTCAGGCAAGCTGTTATTTGGTGACTATATTGTTTGACGGTGAAATGTTGCCCTCATTGTTTATGTTATTGTTGGGGGCAATAAATCCTGCTTACTTGCGAAGTTGCTATGGGGAAAAGCTCATTAGTCCCTTAATACAGCAAGCAGGACTGTACTCCCTGAGTCAGGCAGAAGTAATTGTGGACTCTTACAGCACTTCTTCAAATTGGCACTGAAGTAAAAAGAATTTAAACCCTTCTATAACAGACACAGCACTGTAACCAATCAGCAGG